CTCTAGTAACATCCAGATACCCAGAGGGTGAGGAGATGAAAGATATTTAGCTGCTTTAAGGTTTCTTTTTCTACAGGATCTTACCTTCTCACTGCCTGTTTTTTAGCATGCACAGCAAAGGAGCAGGGGGCTGGCAGAAGTCAATTTCCTTCAGTTCACAGACCCTGATCAATTCCTTGGGCAGATCGACCATATGTGTGTTCTGTGGATCCCATAGCAGTCACATTATAGAGCCTTTGTCATAACACTTTCAAGTAAAGGAGCATCTCTCTACTCTTACTGCTCTCTTTTACTGTAAGTAGTAGCCCTCAGTACTGAATCTTGTGTATTTCTACTTAAAATCTGTTTAGAAAGCTCTAAATGATGACAAAGCATCTTTCTAATTTTTTCCTTCCAAGCAAACAAGGTGTTTTGTTTGTCTCACAATAAAATGTTTTTTATTCATATCCCTAAAATGTCAGGGTTTGATGAGTCCAAAACTGATTTTTTTCCAGGACACAGAATGAAAAGATTGAGTGGTTCTGACTGCTTTGGTCTCTAGTAGGAGCAAAGAAAAAACTAAACTTGCTCAACACAGGAAATCTAGCCAAGCTGCAATAAAGACGAGGAAGAAGTGGCACTTTTCTAAGGATTTTTCCTGGGCCAAATTATAACATATTTTGTAAATGTTGGGAAAGTAGTACTCCTGAAAGTCAGAAGGTCAGTCTTTCTGATGAGTGCTGGCTTCTTACCACTGTGCCACCATCAGGCACAAACAACAGATATATTTCTCCTAAAATCATTCTCATTGTTGTAAGAAACAAACCATTTTCAGCTCAGCTTGAGATAAGCACTTGAAATTTTAGTCCAAATTACTGTTTTGGAAACAATAGTGGGACATTTGGGAATTTGGATAAGGTAGTTACATGACACTGGGTGGCATATTGTTCATTCACTAGACAGAAACATTACTCTGAAAAACACACAAGCACAGATTTAGCTCAGTTATTTAAATGGGGGGAAAAGTTTTTCTTGTCCATCCTAGATTTTGCAGGATGCTGCTGTCTGGAAGATGTGTATTGTATATGCACCCAAAGGTAACCCACACTCAGGTGTGGAGACAAACATACACACTGGTTACTGGTGATGTGTCTTTCCCGATGTTGGTAGACGCAAAGTGCTGAGATGCTGCCAGGTGCTGCAGTGCTGTCCCAACTCCTGTTTAAAGCATCTGTGTGGTTCCCCTGTTCCCAGCTGATCTGATTGTGCCCACATGCTGGGACCCGTCCTGAGCAGTTTGTGCTGCAAGTCTGGAAACCCTTCAATGCCTATGCAGAGGATGGGACAGATGACCCCAGCATAACCCTTTCACTTACCCGTTCTCACCTTTTGGGGTCTGCAGTCCAGAAAGGATCCCTATCCCTCACACTCACTGTAGATCTGGAGTCCTAATTTGAAATTTCAGAGGCAGAACTTGCTAACCAGACTCAGCTTTTCAGCTGCCGAGGCATGCCATACTGGCAGAAAGGCATTAGTCTGGTTTCCAGGGTCTCAGCACAGTTTGACCATGACAGTCTCCAGCATAAACACATCTGCTCTGAGTGTGCTAGACACACGAATGTGGATTTTATTTTGTCTGCTTGTTTAGGTCCAGAAAGACACATCCTTCAGAATTTTTCACTTTGGGCTGCTCTCCTTTAGATGGCACTGTTACCACTTTCAAGAGCAGCTGCTGCTGGCCACTTCACTGAACAGGGCTGAAACTTGGCCAGGGCTGTCATTATTACAGAGCTAACAAGCCAGACCAGGTCAGGATTGATCCAAGTCAGGGGGAGCCGTTTCTGATATTTGCTCTAAAAAGTCTTCATGGTATTCTCTTGACGGTATCACTTCAGCTCCTGCCAGTTAGTTGTTCACTTCTGAGTATCCCTCATAGCACAAGGGTTGTATTGATGTGATGAACTTCCAACATTGAGGACAAACTCAATCTGCTCCTCTTCAGAATAAGTGTAAAGCGGTTCACAAAGTCAAGAGGAGCCATGCATGCCTATCTGAGAGCCTTAACTAATTAACCTGCTAATTAAATAATAATTAAAAGCTGTCTACAGGTGCTGCAATCGTTACTTTTCATAACTAGCTAAATGCTTATGTCAGAACCACTGCTTTAAATTGTTTTGTCCACTGCCTCAGTCATCACAGAATCACAGAATCTTAGGAGTTGGAAGGGACCTCGAAAGATCATCCAGTCCAACCCCCCTGCCAGAGCAGGATCACCTAAACTAGGTTGCAGAGGAATGCATCTAGGCGTTATCACCTACTTCGACTGCCCAGGCTTTTTCACAAGATAGCAAATCGGTTTAGCTGTCATTTAATGGGTCTGTATTAAGTACTGCTATTTAATGTGCATTCCTTGTGCCTATTAAATTAATCTTGCCTGTCAGGAGCACCAAAGTAGGATCGTCCCCCTGCTTAGCAGAGCAGAACTGCCACTTGGACAAATCAACCCCAAAATTTTCTGGAATAAGGCCCTACCTTGTTCCTGAATGAGTGTTATTCCCTTGCCAAACTGTGGTTCTATTCAGACCTCAACCATTTTGCCTGCAGGCTTCTCAGAAGTAAACACACACAGTTATTATTTTTATAATGGGAAAAGTTTCTTTTTCCATGCTGCCATAACTCAAAGCCAGCCAACGCAATTTTGCTCAAGCTTTCAAACAATAATCTCAGAAAATGTCTACAAATTGTATTTTTGAATGACTCTCAAAAACTTGGAAGTCTGTGTCTATGTTGCAAGACAACAGACTGCCCAATTTTGCAACCACTTGAGTATTCCCAGATCATCCCACTACATGTAGGCTCTAAACTTGAGCATTGAATTTATAAGTGCAGCAGCCTTAGGCCTCCCTGGAGGACTCAGTTGAGACAGGTAAGTGCCTCGAGCAGAAATTCAGATCTTTGGTGCTGTATATAGTCTTCTGGAAGTGCTCACTGGCCTCCCTTCACTAAAAATGGAGTCTAAAGCAACCAGAGTAACCATATTCCTAATATAGGTATCAGATCTGAGTGTCTAATGTATACCTGCTGGGCTCACACTGGCTGGGCAGCTCATCACCCAGGGAAGCCAGGGGTGCCTTTGGCTGGAAGGGGTCCATGCTACATGGCTCCCAGCAGTAAGCAGTAAGACATAAGTGTCCTGTACCGCACCAAAGGGTGATGTGCAGATATACACACTCCAGAGCAACCAGGCAAGCCCCAAAGAGACTGACATTCAGGCTGAACGCAGGTAAATGGGTCCAGCAATGGATCTGAAAAAGGTCTACATCTAAACCTGCTAAAGTCTGAAGACTCTTAAATTCCACAAGTATAGTATTTTATACCTCTAAGCCCTCCAAGCACTCAGAGGAGTACTACTGCAAACCCCCACCTGGCCTGATAATGCAGAGGAGCTGAGAAGATAAGGCACAGCTATGCCCATCCAAGATTTGAAGAGGACTCTATTAAATAAAGTCCTCTGAGGTGTCCAATTTAGGAGGTATCCTCAGGACAGATCTAACATGCACTAACAGGATCAGAGTAATCTCAAAGCTCAACTGCGGCAGCTGTTCTCATTTAAAACACATCCAGAGGAGACGAAGGACCTATGCCCAAGCTTCAGCAAATTGTGAATGATGCATGAGATGAAAAATCTCTCCCTAGTGGACAATGCATAGACAAAGCTGAGCAGACACTGCTCTGCCCTTTTTTGTTTCCCTCTGCTTTAATCAAGGACACTTCACAGTCAGTTCCAAAAAAATAGCAAAAAAAAAAAAAAAAAGAAGAAAATCTTTAGAAATGCCCATCAAGCCCAGAAATGTCAAAACTAAAGAAAAATAGAGGGGGAAAATCCCCTGGAAAGTTATTTAAAATATTTAGTACTTTTTAAAAAATTCCCTGTTTTTTTAAAAAAGCTCCCTCCCAGCAAAATCATCTCCTACTTGGTGAAAATTGTGAAGTATGGTACTTGTTCAAAGGTTCAATTTGTTCAAACCTTTCCCCCTAAAATAACAAAATAATCGAATAAAGTTTTTCAGAATTTGTAAGCACTACTTGAATCTGTCTTTTGTTTTTGTTTTTTTTTTTGTTTTCTCTCTCCCATTTAATGCTGAAAGTTTACTCTCGTCTCTTCCAAAAATAGACAAACAGGCAATCAAGGATATTATCCAAACCTTGGGTCCTACTGCTGGTGATCAGTTGGGACCGCAGCTTTACCTTGGATGGTATAAAATACATGGGCATCAGGTGAACCAGGTCTGGACCTCAGACCTCAGCTAGATTTCCCAGACCACTAAATGGCTTTAGAAACAAGCAATACCTACAAGTCCCTCATGGTTACTGTGGTCACCTTTTAAACTTTACTTATTTGGTCTTGGGTTTAGTGGATAAATAAGCTTCTCTAATTATTGACAATATTTTCTTTGTGTTCTCTATACGAGCGGAATGTAATTTCCTAAATGCTGAGATAATGTTATTCTAACATCTTCAGGAACTGGCACCTCTGTAACAGGGACCATTCTCCCTGATCTGTGGTAAGCAGGAACAGTAGATAAGTACTGTGAGAAAGCAAATCTTTTCCTTCATTCAGCACCTATGACTGACTAAAGGCACGGTCTGTTTTTACATTTGTTTGCAAGTATCAGTATCTTTATAGTTACAATATAGTTACATTTTCCATTCCAGCTGTAGTGGTCAGGGACTGGGACTTCTAAGTTTCTGCATCTGTGTCACTCCTAAAAACATCTTGAAATCCCTCTTGCTTGTGACAAACACTTCAGTCACAATTTTTCCTCTTCCAAGTTCCTGCACTTTGATTTTCAAATACATGGCATCAAATTATAATTACCTTCTCACAATAACAGTTGCAAAGAAATTACATGCTTTGCTCTCAGGAACAAAGTTTCAATGACTGTGTAATAAATTTGGACAAGTGACTGGTGTAAAGCCAAAGTATCTTTCCAGTGGTAAAAAGTACCCATTGCACTTACCTGAGTGAAAAAGTGCTGTGTTGTTATAGCAAAGACATCAAAGCCACAGCTGGCTCTTTTAAGCTCATCTCGAATATTCCTTAATTGCCGGGACTGCTCATCATACTTTTCCTTCAATCTCTGAACAAACTGCTTTTCAGCTTCTCGACTCTCTCCTGGTTTGGGGGACAATCCGTTCTTTGGAGTGGCTGGCCTTTGCTTGGGATGTCCTACAAAGGAGAGAAGACCATCAGGGTTACTTACTTCATATGTATGAACATGACCTTTATGTGTTTCTATGGCCTTTGAGACTCAGCCCTATAAAAGAAAAAAATCATTCACACAGATCCGTAATGACTTTCAAACTGAGAAAAAAAAAGCAAGAGCACAGCAAAATATGTTTCCCTAGGGGATAAAGCTCAAAACTTTGTAACAGTCATCTCACCTCAGGCTCTGAGCCTGAAGGTCTACTATGAGTTGAGGAGAGCTCTCCTAAGAGTGTCTTACTGAGAACTGAGGTTGTTAGAGGGAAGATTCATCTCACCCATGTTAGACATCTACAGGAATAGAGGCCTGCATCTTGACATGTGATGTGGACTCTCCTGAATGGCAGTGAGAGAAATGGGCATTTCCAGGTTGAGATTCACCTTATCCTGTTGTGGATGTGAAAAGCAGTTGGATGACCTTTACACTCTACACATTATTTCTTTGGCCACCTGAACTCCAAGCTTGGTGACTTGAAAGAGGTGCCAGATTTCCTTTTGCCTCCAAAAGGGACAGTGTGGGGCTGGAGTTGTCCTTCCCTGAATGCAAACACACCAAACTGTTGCTTTTTAGCTCATTCCTGAATACTGGCCAGGAATCTCTGGTTGTCTTCCTCAGCTCCTCCCATTAGTCCCAAGCTTTTAGTCTAGGAGCTAGAGTAAATAAGGGAGAAAAAATAGAGTCAGACACCTTGTTCCCATGTGTTACTGAAGATGGCGGACATTGGTCTGTATACAGATTAAAAACGAACATTTCTGTGTTAGCAGAAAGGACTGGATATGCAAGAATCTGAAAAAAGGTTATCTTGTATTTTTATTGTCTTGTAGTATACAGTTCCTGAAAAACAATACAGAAACAATGTCTCCAACCAGTCCTCAGCAACCAATGTAACAGGGGATGGTCTTCTGCCATGGATACTATCTATGCCTTTCCTAAAAACCAGAAGAATCCTTCCACAGAGATGCATCTGATGGTATGAGTTTGAGCCAATTTGTGAAGTAGAGCATTGTTCCAGAGGCAGTTTTCTTAGATGTGTTTAGATATTTTAGATCTTTAAGACTGTGTCCTGGGTGTGCAAATGAATCCTTAGGGCAATTTTACTAGGTCAGGCAGGGAAGCAGTATGGCTTTGCCAGAGCAATACTCCAAGAGCATGTTCCTACTTTTTCAGATGCCCGGCTTTTGTGGAGCTATTGGGAGCATATCTTCCAACCTTCTCGGCTAAGTTCTGGCTCCAGGCTAAGCTTAGACGGAGGTAGCTCCAGCAGAGATGCTCCCTCACATCTACATGTATCTCATGCTGCAACTGCAAAGAGACACAAGTGCAAAACAGCCTTTGGAACAATTTGTGCCCATGACTTGCATTTGCAAAGAGGAATACCAGATTTCACAACATGTCAGGACTAACTTCATGATGTGACATAAGTAACATAATATGGGAAGTTAGAATCAACTTTCTGTCATTAAGAGAGTGCAACCAGCTATAGCTATTGCTCTCTATCAGTTTTCTTGTCAGTTAAAGCCTGTACACCTTTTTGTGTCGGAATTACATTTTCTTTCTTTCATTAATTTAAAAGGACTCTTAACTTGTCAGTAGGTATTACCACAAAATAAGAAATTCGTAAAAGCAACAGCCACAAATATCTGTCTTTTTAGTATAGAAATCTTGTGTTATTTAGACAGAATGGTGGTGTTACAACAGAAGGCACAGAGAGAGGTGTAGGGGGAAGCCCTTGAAATCAGTCCAGATTTAATTAAAACAGAAACCTACCAGGTTGTTTTGTCTTATATATTTCTAGCTTTCCTGTGCATGGGAACACTTGAAGTGTACATTTCTATGTTGTCCTTGTCAGTGTTTTAAGCTGTCCTTGTAAATTAAACTGTGCTATTCTCCTCAGGGGCAAATCTGAATTTCTTGGTTCATTTGGGTCTGAAAAGCAGCTTACTAAGCTTGTTCTGCCATCGAAGTCTCTTTTCTGTTGCTCTGCACAAAACAGGGTTTATATTAATGATACTGATCGTGATCATGAATGTCCCTTTTGCTGATAGTGGGACCAGGGGGACAGACTCAGTGTATACTGAAATCACTGACCCCTTTGATCTGCTTCAAAACTCCCAGATCTTTTTTATCTACCTAAGTGTTTGAACTAAGGAGACATAACAAGTATATGCTCATAATTAACAGACTCCATGAGGACTTAGCTGGGGAATGCAATTTATTTGCCTTTTACCAACATTGTGGTAAGAAAAGTGAGGAAATTACTTTGAGAGTATTGATAACAAGCAATCTGTAGAGTGCCAGATGTCAGAAAAAGATGGCACCATCCCGCAATGGGGTGGAAGAAGAGTACCTGCACCTCTGTACATCTGTTCCTATACCCAGATTTCATGAAAGGTATTGCATCAGTAGATAAAATAAAGATTCCTACAAGACTCTGCAGCCCAAAATGCCCTTGCAAGTCTTCAGGAGGACTGATTCAAATGCTAAAGATCAAATTCAAAGCTAAAATATAAATAAATGTATTATAGTAAAAAAACAGCACTGATTAAAAGGAACTGCATGTGAGGAGGCCAGTAACAGAGGAGAAACAACCTAGAAATGACACTCAGAAATTTGAGAACATGATCCATGCCTGCTGTGGTGGAGTTACCTGGCAGACACATGCTCTCCTATCATAAGCTGCAAATGCCACATGTGATCCTGATGGAGGAAAGGCTGTGCTACTGCCCCTCGGCCCCAGCTACACTCACTCCTTGCCTTGTCTCATGGCTGCTTTGATTATTTTGTGCAGTTGTTAAATAAGTGAAAAGATTATCTGTCTTTATCACTTTGTTACTGCTGTTGTTATTTCAAAGAATGCTAAAGGCTACTCTAAAAAAATAAATGAAGATGAGGTTTATTTTCCTATTTGATCCTTAAAATGAGAAACAATTTTAGGTTGCTATAATTTTAGACAATCAAGCTTAAGAAATCCTAAATCAGTCTGACAGAGAGGGGGCTGTGACTCAACCTCCCATGAGAATGAAGAAAGCTTTGAGCCCTCATTAATTGGATATGCCAAAAATTGAAGCCTTGAAAATCATTAAGTCACCCATGGAAATGCAGTAAGAAAACACTAACACACAGTATAAATATGCTTGTGTTTCCTTCTGCTTTCTAATTCCAGCAGAAGCAAATCAGCTGTGCTGCAACATGCTGTCGCAGCCTCAATCACTGCTGGTGCTTAAACTGGACTCCCACTGTTATAAACGCTTCTGAGCTGCTGGTCTGGCACTCTGTGCAACAAATTTTACTTTGGATCTCTCATGGTGATCTCATCAGGTGCAAAATAGCTTGAAAATTACATGATTCAGAGGACAGTGTTAAGTTCATCTTTTTACCCTAGTTATTTAGTAAGGAGAAGAATTCTGAGTCCTGTTAGTGCCTGGGAAGATTAAATTTCATCTTCCCTTTTCTTGTTTTTGTTGTTTGGGAAGGAGAAGGATAGGGATTGAGTTTAGTAAACATGAAGAGACTCTTGATGCAAGTTATAGGAGCCAAAGAGCTGTTCTATGTTTTATATTTTACCATCAAATCAAGAAACATGGGTTTCTACCCCCCATAATTATAACTCAAGCATCATATAGCTGTAGAAATGATATTTAAATTATTTAGATAGAGTCTGAAAAATGAGGTAATGGAGCAGAGGATAAACTGCAAGTACAATAAAGTCAGTGGGACCATGCCCACTCATTTCAGAAGCATTCAGATCAGCGAAACATCAGTCTTACAAATGCCTTTAGCTACCTGATACATTTTTTAATATACACTTAAGATACATAAATAGAAAAAAGTTCTCTTCATTCTACTAAATAAACAAAGGTATTGTTTAGGAATGCTGAAACTCTGTGTTTGTGCTCAATATTGAGGGGTAATAGTGCCCCAATAACTCTGAAGGTTATTTCTATAGATAAGCCCTTTTCCAATTATGCATAGAAATAGCCCAGGAAATTTAGGGCCTCTGTACAACAGTAAGAGCAGATTCTGAGAAATATACTGTCACTCCAGGTAATTGTCTGAGGTGTCTTTTATTTCACTATATCTATCTTTTCTCTTTTTATATAAGGAAATTATAATGATAAATAAAAATGTTCATGTGTCCTTAAACATCTAATAGCAACAACTCTTTGTTTTGAAGGAGACATGATTACAGGGTTGTAACAAAGAAAACATAAGTTTATTCAGCTTATGCATGGGTATGACAAAGCCTGTTGTACTCAGAGCCAGCTTAATGAACCTTGGACATAATCAATCTTCACTTAACGAAAGCAGGTCTCAGATTTTAGTGTGTTAACAAGAAATGCAAAATTAACAAGTTTAAATCTTCCCTGAAACAGTGCTTTTGGGTTCATAAATACCTGGTGAATGGACCTTGGTGGCTGTTACTGCTGATCTCTTAGGGGATGAGACAGCTGGTCTGTTAGTATCCTGATCTTTTTGTACTTCTTTCTTCTGACCTGTTTTAGAAAAAAAAATAAAGGTAGAAAGAAACCTGGTTTATAATTCTGTTTGCAATTGTGCAGAACTATGCCAGTAAGATACACACCACACTGGCAAAATGTAAGTATTTCACCAATACACATCCTGGGCTTCAGACAGGATGATGCTACGCATTACTTCTATGTTGGATGGCAACCTGTCACTTCTGTAAGCATGACAGTGTGTTTGTGGCTGAGCTGACATGCACAGCACTAAAGAAGGTCAGAAGAAGGCCTTACACACTATCTTGGTTCTCCAGCCATCTGCACAGTGACAAATGCTGTTAAGGTACAAACAGCTACACAGGTAGCCCATCCTATCTGTTCTGAGCTCTCTGTTCTCTCTCTTTACCTTGCTGTGCCTCAGCCAAGGATCTTCTGGGCTGGAGGAGAAGCTGAGCAGGACTGTGCAAAGCTGACTTAAGTTACCTGCAGGGCCTTGCTCTAACAACTTTTTCCACACGTCAGGAATCTACCATTTCTGATGACCAGCTTTTCCAAGAGAGTCTCATACAGATAAGAGGCAGGCTTCTGCAGAATCAGAAGCAGGCAAGATGTGTCAGGTCAGTGCTGGATCCCAGATAGTAGAGTGGGTCTCTGCCTGTGCAGTAAATCAGGCAGGGCCAGCAGCACATCCAGTGCACAAATCCAGTGTGCCAATGCAGGACACAACAGGGCCATATCATTGCCTTGCTGCCCCCAAGGCTGAACCAACACCTGGTTCGTGCTCATCTACGACTCAGGCATGTGCCAGGCTGCTGACTCTCCTCTCCTCTCC